CCTTGCATTCCAGGGATAAATCCCACTTGATGGTGAATGATTCTTTTAATGTGCTAATGAATTTGGTTTGCTAATATTTTGCTGAGGATTTTTGCATCTATATTAATCAGGTATATTTGTTCATAATTTTGTCTTGTAGGCTCCTTATCTGGCTTTGGTATCAGGTAATGCTGGCCATGTAAAATTAGTTTGGGAGTGTTTCCTTCTCTTCATTTTTTTGGAATAGTTTGAGAAAGATTGTCATTGACTCTTCTTTAAATATTTGGTAGAATTCACCAGTAAAACCGTCTGGTCTTGTACTTTTCTGTGTTGGGAGGTTTTTGATTACAATTCAATCTCCTTTATACTTGTCCACTCAGATTTTCAAATTCTTCATGTTTCAGTCTTGGAAGGTTGTACATTTCTAGGAATTTATCCATAGCCTATGGATTATCCATTTTGTTGGCATATAATTATTTATAGTCTCTCATGATCCTTTGTATTCCTGTAGTATTAGTTGTAATTTCTCCTCTTTCATTCCTGATTTTGAGTCCTCTGTTTCTGAGTCACTCTAGCTAAATTTTTTTTCGATCTTTTTTTTTATAAATAAATCTTTTTTATTTATTTTATTTTATTTATTTGAGAGAGAGAACGAGATAGAGAATGAGGGGGAGGAGGGTCAGAGGGAGAAGCAGACTCCCTGCTAAGCAGGGAGCCCGATGGCGGGACTCGATCCCAGGACTCCAGGATCATGACCTGAGCCGAAGGCAGTCGTCCAACCAACTGAGCCACCCAGGTGCCCTCGATCTTTTTTTTTTTAAACAGCTCTTAGTTTCAGTGATCTTTTTAATTATTTTTCTTGTCTTTATTTTTTTTATTATGTTATGTTAATCACCATACATCATTAGTTTTTGATGTAGTGTTCCATGATTCATTGTTTGTGCATAACACCCAGTACTCCACGCAGAACATACCCTCTTTAATACCCATCACCAGGTTGACCCATCCCTCCACCCCCCTCCCCTCTAGAACCCTCAGTTTGTTTTTCAGAGTCCATCGTCTCTAATGGTTCATCTCCTCCTCCAATTTCCGCCCCCCTTCATTCTTCCCCTCCTTTTTTTTTTTTTAACATATAATGTATTATTGGTTTCAGAGGTACAGATCTGTGATTCAACAGTCTTGCACAATTCACAGCGCTCACCATAGCACATACCCTCCCCAATGTCTATCACCCAGCCACCCCATCCCTCCCACCCCCCACCACTCCAGCAACCCTCAGTTTGTTTCCTGAGATTAAGAATTCCTCCTATCAGTGAGGTCATATGATACATGTCTTTCTCTGATTGACTTATTTCACTCAGCATAACACCCTCCAGTTCCATCCACGTCGTTGCAAATGTGTGTGTGTGTGTGTATTTCATTTATTTCTGCTTTGCTCTTTTTATTTTCTTCCTTTTACTAAATTTGGGCTTAGTTCTTTTGCATGTGAGGTTGTTTATATATGTTCTTTCTTGTGTCTTAATGTAGGCATTTATAAATAAATGGTTTTCTATAGTGGTATCCTTCGATTCCCTTCTCGAGAAATCTGTGTATCTGTTGTAGATTTTTGTTTTTATTAACTTCCCTCTTAGAACTACTTTTGCAGCATCCCATAGTTATTGATATGTTGTGCTTCCATTTTCATTTGTTTCAAGATACTTCCTGATTTTTCTTTTCATTCCTTCTTTGGCCTATATATTCAGGAGCATGTTTTTTAGTCTCCATATATTTATTTTTCCGGCTTTCCTCCTGTTATTAATTTCTGGTTTCATACCACTATAGTGTGAATATAGTATTCATACCACTATAGTATGAATACTTGGTATTTTTTTCAATTTTTAAATTTACTAAGACTTTTTTTTTTTTATGACCTACACGTGATGTATTCTGGAGAATGTTCTGTGTGCACTGGGAACAATGTGTATTCTGCTGCTGTTGGTTGGCATGTTTGTATATGTCTGTTAGGTCCATTTGGTCTAAGGTATAGTTCAGGTGTAGTGCTTTCTCACTGATTCTTCTATCTGGATGACCTATTGTTGATAGGTAGGATATTGAAGTCCCCTTCTATTATTGTTATCTATTTTTTTTTCCTTCAAATCTGTTAGAATTTGCTTAATATAATTCAGGTGTTCTGTAATTGGGTGCATATATATTGATGATTTTTATATCTTCTTGATGAATTGACCTCCTTATCACTATGCAGTGACCATCTCTGTCTCTTAACCATTTTTGGCTTAAAGCCAATGTTGTTTGATACTAGTATAGCCACCCATGTTCTTTTGGTTTCTATTTGCATGGAGTATCTTTTGCCATTCTTTTGAATTTATGTGTGTCCCTAGAGCTGGGGTGAGTCTCTTGTAGCATATAGTTGGGTATTTTTTTTTTTTAATCCAGCCAGCCAATCTGCCTTTTGATTGGAGAATTCGGTCCATTAACATTTACAATAATTATTGGCAGGTAAGGACTTACTAATGCCTTTTTATTATCTTCTGGCTGTTTATAGTTCCATTTTTCTTTTCCTCTTGTTGCCTTCCTATGTAAATAAATGATTTTTGGTAGCAGTATACTTTGATTCCCTTCTTCTTATGTGTGCTGTTGTAGATTTGTGTTTTGGAGTTCCCATGAGGTTTACATAAAAAATCTTATAGATCAGGGTGTATTTTATGCTAATAATAATTTAATTTGATTGCATATAAAAAAATCTATCCTCTTCTCTGTTTTACATTTTTGATGACACCATTTATTGTTTATTGTGTATCCATTAATGAACTGTCAAAGCTATACCTAGGTTTCCTACTTTTGCCTTTTAATCTTTTTTTTTTTAAGATTTTATTTATTTGACAGAGACAGACACAGCGAGAGCAGGAACACGAGCAGGGGGAGTGGGAGAGGGAGAAGCAGGCTTCCCCCTGAGGAGGGAGCCCGATGTGGGACTCAATCCCAGGACCCCGGGATCATGACCTGAGCTGAAGGCAGTCACTTAACCAACTGAGCCACCCAGGCGCCCCTTGCCTTTTAATCTTGAGGTGAATCTTTATCTAGCACATCACCATATTAACAGTGTTAAGGTACTCTAAGCCTGACTCTATACTTCTCTTTACCAGTGTGTCCTATATTCCCATATGTTTTCAAGCTACTAGTTAGTATCCTTTTGTTTCAGCTTGAGGAACTCCTTTTAGCATTTCTTTTTTTTTAATTTAAAAAAAAATTTTTTTTTTTAAGATTTTATTCATTTATTTGACAGAGAGACAGCGAGAGAGGGAACACAAGCAGGGGGAGTGGGAGAGGGAGAAGCAGGCTTCCCGTGGAGCAGGGAGCCCAATAAGGGGCTTGATCCGAGGACCCTGGGATCATGACCTGAGCTGAAGGCAGACACTTAACAACTGAGCCACCCAGGTGCCCCCCAAAATTTATTTATTTAATGTGGGCTCATTAAAATATTATTTTATGATATATTATTTATTTTGAGTTGGGCAAGGAGCCCAACACAGGGTTTGAACTCACAACCCTGAGATCAAGACCTAAGCTGAGATCAAGAGTCAGACACTTAACCGACTGAGCCACGCAGGCACCCACCCTTTTAGCATTTCTTGTGTAGTTTAGTGGCAAAAGTTTAGCAGCTTTTGTTCATTAGGGGAAGATTTTATTATTTCACCTTCATTTCTGATGGACAGCTTTGCTGGGTGAAGTATTTTGGTTGGCAGTTTCCTTCAGCACTTTGAATTTATCATTCCAATCTCTCTTTGCTGTAAGATATCTGGTGAGAAATCCACTCAGAGCCTTATGGGGGTTCCCTTGGTTGAGAGAACTTTTTTTCTCTTCCAGCTTTTAAAATTCTGTCTTTGGTTTTAGACTATTTCATTATTATGTATCTTGGAGAACATTTTGGGGTGAAATTTTGTGGTGACCAAGCTTTATGAATAAACTTGAATATCCAGTTCTCTTCCCATGTCTGAGAAATTCTGCCATTATTTCTTTAAGCTTTTCATTCCTTTCCCCCTCTCTTCTTCTGAGACTCCAGTAATATGTACATTGTTTCTTTTGATTGTGTCCCATAACTCCTGTAGGCGTGTTCCTTTTCATTATTTTTCTAATTGCTCTTCTAATTGTTTAAATTCAACTGATCTGCTTTCTCACTCACTGCCTCTGTTCAACTATGCTGTTGAAACTATTGAATTCTTCAGTTCATTGTACTCTTCAGCTTCAAAATTTGGTTCTTTTCTCTTTGTTGAGCTTCTCATTTTGTTCTTGTATTGTTTTCCTCGTACTGTTGAATCATTTTTGTGTTCTCTTGTAGCTTTGAGCATCTGTATTACAATTATTTTGAATTCTTTGTTGGGCAATATTTGCATCTCTATTTCTTTGGGTCCAGTTAGTGGACTCTTCCTTTGGTAGAGACATTTCCCTCACCTCTTCCAGACTTCCAGACGTTATGGACTGATTTTGGTTAGAGAAGCCTTTCACTTCCAGATAGGGGTGCAGTGGATCATGTTGTGGCCCAGGTCTTGTGGTGCAGGGCAACAAATGCAGGGATGCGTGGTAGCAGTAGGTCCAGTTGGGGCAGGATGGCTCTTTGGCTCAAGCCACCAGGGTCCACACTCTTGGCAACAGCATATTCCTTGGTCATCACTGCAGGGGTCTGCAGTGCCTGTAAGGGCTCCTGGGCTTCTCAGCCATGCCTCTAGAACCAGTAAGTAGCTAGGGACTAGGGCAGGCAGCATTGGTGGCTGGGGCCAAGGGTGTGCATACACTTGGCTGTGAAGGGCCGGCTGTAGGTCCCTTTGCAGACAAAGTTATAGCGATGGGTGTCAGGGAAGGTAGCAAGGACTAGGGCCAACTATGGGCTCCCTGGCAGTGGCAGAGGACCCGAGTGTCAGCATGCTGCCCCTGGGCAAGCGTACTGCAGTGGAGGTCAGCGACAGGGGTCAGGTTGCAGAAAAGGTGATGGAGGGCATGCAGGTCCTCGGTCAGAGGGACTAGCTCTAGCTGCAGGTGGGCCCGGTGGTGCCGGCCAGTAACACGAGGCAGAGCTGCCCCGTGGCTGTACCAGGGGCACGCACACCGGCGGAGCTAGTTACAGGTGGGTTGTGGTGATGCTGGCCATGACAGAGGGGGGCCTTAGTCGTCCTGTAACTGGGTCAGTTTCCTAATAGTGTTCAAAGTAAAGTTTAAAAAAAGCTTAAAAAGGGGAGTTTGGGGCAGGGGGAGTATACAGTGACACCAATTAGTACAACTGTGATCTTGATTTTCTTCCCCAGCTGCCTTGGTCCAGAGCGATGATGGCAGATGAGGTCAGAAAGTGAAGTCTAGGACACGTTCTCTAAAGCTGGGTGAGCTGCCTGTCAGTTTGGGTCGTCTGGGAAGCAGACGCAGATGGAGTTGGGAGCACAAAAGATGTCTTGCAGGAGGAAAGGGGCGTACCCCAGCTGTGTGCAGTCACTGGGGTGGGGGGGGCTGGCTGAGAAGAGCTTGTCCTCAGCTCACACCCTGTGAGACAGGACAGCTGGGGACCGGGGCTCGCCTCTCACATGCTGAGCTCAGCACGGTCTGCGGCGTGATGGCACTAGCCCACCAGCTCCAGGTCCCTCTCTGGACCCCCCCCCTCACTTTTTGTGGAGGATGGGGAGACACGCCGGTTTCCGCAGTTCTACGACCAGGTGGTGCTCTGGCCCCTGCCGAGCGACTGGCCAGGCAGAGAGCAGCCTGGAGGCTCCAGCTGGCGGAGGGCTCCAACTGAAAACTCCTCTCCATGGCTGGTGCCAGTCAGACACAGAATCAGCTTAAAAGCAGGTTAAAGCCTAGAGGAAGGCACCCGAGGGAGTGAACCAGGAAATCGCAATGAATTGATTTTAAGTAGCTGCAGCTGGGATTAGGCTATTTTTAGCCATAGGACTCAACCAGCTTTCAAAACCTGCTAATAAGAGCCTCACTGTAGCCAGCGAGTAAAACCAGTACAAAAATTTAGCTTTTAATTTAACTGACAGCAAGAATCTGCTCAGTTAAGAGCTGGCTTAAAAGGCAAATCCAAGGAAGAGAACACTTTCCACTGCCAAGTTTAAGAGAAGTTTTCACACCTGTCACTTTTGAAAATCATTTAGTAAATCTGTCTGCTGCCGCTCAGTATTGTGTGTGCATTTTGGGTAGACAGAACTTGCGTTCATTAGATTCTGTTTAACAGTAACCACCCCCCCCAACCCCCACAAGTATATCCTGCAAGCAGTCGTCAGTAGAGCCTGAAGCGGCTTACCCGATCCGATCCGATCCACACCGACTGCAGAACAGCCCGGCTGGCCGATGCTAGGCCCTGGAGGGCCTGCTGCTTCCTGCAGGGCCCCGGGCGGCCCAGGAGGGGAGTTCTCAGGAGCAGCTATGGGCGAGGCTGGTGAGACGCCACCGCCGTTTCCTTGACTAAGCCTCAAAGTAAGTAAAGGGGATCTGCAGGTGGAAAAGGTCTTTGTGAGAGGAAAGGACAGGAGAGGCATCGTCGTGGGGGGCAGGGGACAAGGGGGCGACTGGCGGCAAACATGACAGAGTCCGGAGTACACAGGAAAAGCCAGTCCGTCTTTACTGTAGTGAGTGCAGGATACAAATAGTTTACAACAACCTCTAGCATTTTCTTAACCATTTGATAAAAAGTTCACTATAATATTTATTGTATAATGAAGAAAAAACACATTCAGGGAAAAATTGAGATTAACTTATTTTTCTTAAAAGGTTCATCTCAAGGATGGCAACAAAGTCCAGCTTGTGCCGCCAAACGGTTTTACATGATCAAACCGTGTACAGCTTCTTGTGTGAACTGTTGACTACAAACATTTACCAAATACATAAATCTCTTTTTAAAAAAGCCATTTTAAATATAGCAAAGCAGTGTCTTCTTGCACAGCAAAGTGAAGAAAGTTTCTACAGAGAAATAAAAGTTTTACATTTGTAAAATCTTTTTCACATTCTAATCATCTAGCTTCTTATGATCCAATGCCAGGAGTTTTCTGGTTCCTTATTTACTATGTATTTCTTGTGCGCATGATGGTTAATACAGAAAATAGGTTAATGCTTTGTTAGTTGTCCTTATAGTTAGTTAAAGGAAATGGTAAAACATGTATTGTTCTTTCAGAACAAACCCCTGATTTAGTCTCTAACACAATGGACATAATTAGGGCTCAAAAGATGGAGTTTCGATCGGGACCATCTGCAGACATACAATGGTGACTCTCACTCTCAATGTAGGACCGGTCAGCGCACTGAGGGAAGGACAGCTGTTGGAAACCGTACTCGAACCAGTGCGGTGTCCTCTAAGCTTTTTTTGTTTTTGTCTTTTAGTAATAAAATACTTCATCTGAAGGATAAAATTTTCTTGTGATGGTGTCATACAAAACACACGAGTCTAAAACGGTAAGAAAAGTCAGTTCTAAAGAAACACCATTCGTGTCTTCCCCACTCTGAGTTGGTTTCCACCAGGAGATGTGCATGTGTATGTGTTTGTACATGGAGTCTGGGTGAGGGATGTCTGTCAAGTCCATACGCTCCAGGTCACACTGGGCAGACAGGAAAAGGGTTAACAGTCAAATATTCACTTCCTGAAAACGGAATACATTGTTACTTGGTCAGTGTAATTGAAATACAAACTCCGAGCCTCGTGTAATAGTATTTTAGAAAACAGTAGTTGTACTGATTATAAACCTGCATAGAAAGAAAGACTATTGAGATACAGTCAGAAAAGCCATCTCATAAGGCACACAAGAAAATAGACAGTAAATGCGAATGTGGTAACTCCTATTCCAATGTACAGCAGAAGTTCATGAACGTGCATGAATAGTAACGAAAGAATCACTTAACACTTTCAAAGCTATAAATGGTTTACAAAGTGGTAAGGATTATCTTGGAAATTCAGTGTTGGGAGACTGTCTTGTTTCCATCAGGTGTGACCTTATGAAGAAACGTGCCTGTATGCAGTTCAGTAAAGTACATTTTAAAAAGAAACTAATCCTTTCTGAATAAGAGCCCAACGGCCATCCTGACGAGAGGAGACAGCACGTCACCCTCCCTTTTTTTTGCCTCTATCGAAATTTACTACCCAAACTGTTCCTAAAACCGAATTCCATTTTGTAGCTGTGAACACCACAGGTTTCCCCTGTACCTAATACCCATGTGTCAGTCAGGAAATCTGGCTGATGATTTGTCACAAATAGCATATGAGGAAAATGTCAGAAGGAAGGCAATTTAGGGGGAAAAGCAAAATGTAAAAAATTGTAGGTAGCTGCTCAAGATTAAGTTTAAAATACAAAATAGCAGCAATGTTTAAACCCTTACTTTGAGTTTCTCAGGAAAGGGAGTATTTAAAAATCTATGATGAAAGATATACAGGACTTTGAATTTTGTTTGTGGCACAAGCCCAGGAAACGGACGAACCTGCCATCGCGGCTTCGCTGTCTTCCCGGAGGAGGAAGGCCTCGTTCAAAGGCTAAGCTGAGTGTGGCCCGGGGTTTCATGAGGACGGCGAGCCGTGCTGGCTAGCGATGGGCCCAGGAGAGAGCTTCTCCTCCCACCAAAAGTGCCATTTCCATGCACAGAGAGTTGCGAAGGGTAGTGTCTTGTGACCAGCTGCATCGTTCTATTTCAGAGGGGCCAGGAAAAAAAGATCCCTTCCCCCACAAATATTTTTCCTAATCATTTACCACTTATAAAACCTTTGTGCTCATCTACTATTTTGCCATGTTCTCTAATATTAAATTAGGCCAGCTTTTTCTACTATATTTTTTTCCTCACAAAAGGCAAGTTTTAAGTAATGCCTTATAAAAATCTGTTACAACACATTTTATATTTATGCAAGATGAACTTAACACCAGGTTTTTTTTTGCCACTTTGCTATTTATGTACACATATAAAATATATAATGATGCTCAACCCATACAGCACAAAGATTACAATGTAACATCACACATTCACCACCAGTGAGGGGAGAAACCCCTTTATACAATCCTCTGAAAAGACTGGGCTAATAATTAAAATCCAAAGTACAGTATATTTAACAAAATAGTAAATATTAAACAGTGAATACTCTACTTAATAAGGATCTCGCCTTTTCCCCCCAAATTGGCGGCAATCCACAAAAATATACTTTTTAATCTGGTGACCATACAATACATAGGTACTTACATCAAAGGTGATAATATATTTAAGATGCTATATACACAAAAGAGTTTGGCTCAACTTTTAATTTACATATAGAATAAGTGTTCATGGCTTTTTTTTTCCAAGGTTCTGCTTGCAAGATATTTTTGTTTGTTTTTTTTCCCCTCTTAAAATAAAACTAAAAAGTTAAAACAAGATAAAGCTATTCTCTTAAAAAAAAAAAGTTACAACATACAGCTTTGGCTTATATAAATAATTCATAGCAGAATGTGTTCAAAAGTAGTGAATATAATTTTATATATAGTCATCAATTCATAAGGGTGTTTTCTTTCATATAAAATATACATGAGCTAAAATCAGTTTAAGATATGAATGTAAAAAGAAACTTCTGACATAGTCCAATTATAACTTAATATATTAATTTATTTTGTTAATGCTCTATATTTCTAGGCTAGTATTTTCTGAATATCTCATGCGTGTTTTCTACTCTCTCTCTTTTTTATTAGCTAAAGATCACTTCTTTGACCCAATACATTTTTGCACGTGCAAAACAGTTATGTGTGGGGCTTTTTTGTTTTTTTGTTTTTTTTTTTTTAAATATCAACAGCCCTTCCCATGCACCCCTCTGCAACAGAGACCCATGCCAGGCTGGGTAATTAATATAAATGACATTTTATGTACAGTATTGCTTTCTTGGTTCCTGCTTTTCTACTGCTCTGTTCTACAAAGCATTTTTCTTAAGTAACTACAGTCACTGCACAGTTAAATAAAACAAGTAGGGGCCCTCTAGGTTTCTGCAAGCTAGTGTGGGAGAATTATATATGGGTACACGTTTCTCTGCAAAAACTGGTTATCTTATGAAACAAGTAGTCCAAAGAAGTGCCAGACTAGGTTCTGCCTACAGGGCGCTTTGTTTGCCATGGGACGCACATCTGCAGATCTACGAGGCAGGTAAGTGCCCGATTCTGTATGCAACACACACCCACACACACACACACACTCACGCCCACATACATATATATATAAAGGGATATATATGTATGTATGTACATATAAATATAGTTAACTCATGTCCTTATTTACCGATGTAGATATGTAGGGCAGTTCGCTGCAGGATCATGAAGTACGAACACCAGCCCGGGAGCCTTAGGTCACCCACGCGTCCATCCTCATTCGCTTGACAGAAGGGCTTTCTCTGTCCTCCGTGGTGGGGGGCCGGCCAAGCACGATTGGAGAATGGAAGTCGCCCCGTGGGTCCTCCCGATCACTACCATCATAGGAGCTGCTCGAGCTGCTCAGACTGTCCACGGGGGAGCGCCCCATTTCCTGCCGGGGCTGCGGGGGCTGGGGGGGCTGGGGGGGCGGTGGCTGCGGCGGCTGCGGCTGGAAGCCTGACGGGGTCATTCGATCCCGGGGAGGTGAAATTGGTTCTGACTTAATGTTGATGTTCTGGTTGGTATTAATGGATAAATTCGAACCCTGAGATAACTGCCCTCCAGCACTGAAGGAAAGAAAAGATGTTAGATGGTGGGTGAGTGCATCTGCATAACCGGAATGGTACTGCAGCCACCGCCCGACTGGAAGCCCGTCAGAATTCCCCAGGACTGCCTTTAATGCCCTCTCTGTGGAAGGAAAAAAATGCCCAGGACGGTGGAGAGCTTTGGGGGCTAGTTCCCCTGGCCACGGCCTGGGTCCTTCTGCAGGGGAAGGAGCCGAAACTGTGCGTCTGCGGCTGCGCCGGGAGCAGAAGGGGAGGGAAGGACACCGGACCTGCACACGGCTTCCTCTCTGCTCTGGCCCTGGGACAGGCGCAGCTCATCTGTGCGCACAGCAACGCGAAGGCCATCAGCTGACCCTATTTTCCAGGGGAGGAAACCGCGTCGGAAGGCTAACTTGCTCAGAGCAGCAGTGTGTGTACAGGCTTCTCCCCCAGTCTACGCGCCAAGCCGTTTCCACTTGCCATGTGTTCATTTAGGACGAACAGACCCCCCTGAGAGCCAACGGGCAAAGAAAATCAAAAAAGGAAACTCTCCTTGGCTTTCTCCGCAGACTGGAGGAGAGGAAAAGCAGGGGTGGGGTATCTTGTGTGTGAATCCAGCTACTGGGGTTCATGTGGTTGATCCCAACCCGCTGCACACACCGAACCTCACCAAGAAGAGTTCAACAAAGAGAACATTCCTTATGGGCAGGGTGAGGGCACACCAGGGAGATGAGCTTACAGTGGTGCCCAGGGGGTATCCGAGAGCGCTAGCAGGAGGGAGAACCAGGATGACGGCGTAGGCAGAGGAGAGCATCTCAGAAGGGGGGGGCACAACAGCAGACCCAGTTGGCTTCCATGAGGGTTGGCTGTTTTCCTATTCCCTTTGTGCACGGACACCACCAAAGCAAAAAAAAAAAAAAAAGTGTGTGTGTGCGGGTGTGGTGGGCCTGAATACCTTTAGCTGCCTTTCTTCCAACACTGGAATCAGATGTAGAGGTGGGGAAGGAGGGGTGGGACTGGGTGGCTTAATGGTTGGCTGGTAGGTAGAAGGGAGGTGCAGGTGGGAGACGTCTGTGCCTCAGTACCCTTTGGTTACTATTTTGAGTCTCTCTACCTCCACAGAAGAGAAGCCTTGCTCCCCAGATCTCTTCAGGGAATGCCTAGTTTGATCAGTGTCCAAGTTATTATCTAGAATCACATAAAGGAAATATTTTCTCCAAACATTTGTACCACGTAAAAAAGAAATTCTAGGACAGTCACATGACAGTAAACAGCACAAAAGACTGTAACCGATAGAAAAATAAAGTGCACGGGCTGGGAGGAGAGAGTCGGGGACAATTTCTAGGTACTCACACCAGAGAGCTGAGGGCTGCTTGTCCTAAATGGTGTTGCTGCCAGGCCGACACCTGTCCCAGAGACAGCATGCCCGGGGGGTTGAAGCCCTGCAGGGCCGACAGGTCCGCACTAGTCAGCGAGTAATCTAGGACAAGGGAAGAAATATTACTCGTGTGTGGGCGAGAAGGCCCACGCAAATCCGTTTTTCACGGAGTAGCTCCAAGAGTTCCCCAGCTGAAAGAAGCCAGATACTTCCTAACATAAAACACGCAGGTCTGAACCCACAATAGTTTTTCTTTTGGGAGGTTTACAGGTCCTAGCTGCATTTGCTTGTCTGGGATTATCTCAATAAAGTCAGTCTCAACTCTGTACTACATGTTTACAGTTTCCTAGCTCACAAAAAGTTGAGATCCTTTTTCCAGACTTGTACAGAGAAATAATGACAGGGCCATCGCTAAGGGACATGCGTATGCAGCTGTCATCTTACACATGCCCATCGCTCCCTGCCCCCCCCCGAAAAAGGAGCAACAGATGGGACAGAGCCTCGATCAGCAGCTCTTCTCTTCTTGAACTACCGGGGAGCAGGAAGGACACAGCACCCCTTCTCGTGCGGGGCCAAGCTCGGGGGCCTGGAGCAAACGTTAGCAATGACTGATGAACGGCGGTCGTTCACAGTACAGGGCTGTCAAAGATCCCAGATTGCGTGCAACACAACTTCATGAAAAAACTTACATGTGACAAGAGTATAGTAGAGAATATAGCTCATTTTCTCTGAATGCCTCAGTCATAATCACTTTGGCCAAGACTCAGGACATTAGGTATCATTCACACATCGAGCTATTTCAGTTCTTCATTAACACTTCTCTTTTCCATTTAGTTTTGAAGAGAGGTGGCAAAAACTCTTCTACTTTTTACTGCTTTCTCATGTCTCAAGAGAGGTATTTAAAGAAGCTGGTCTTCCTAGTGAATTAACACTAATAAAAAAGGGACTGAGTGGCAAGAACATAGCTGGTGCTTAGGACTCTGCCTGCCTCTACTCTCCGCTCATGCCATGATCTCCGACTGCCTCATCCACTCCCCGAGGCGGCGGCACAGGGGGTCCCACACACTGGTGCCTTCCACAGTGCCCCCTGCAGCCCCCAACTCTCTCTCTACCTCTAGGTCCTCCCAACTACCTACTTGGTATGTCCATTTGGGTGTTCTCTGAACACCTCAAATCTGACACCCGAACCGGCCCCCACCTCGTCCCCTCCAAACCTGCTCCTTATCTTCATAAACGGCACCGATACACACCTGGTTGCCCATGCCAGAAACCTGTGAGTGTTCTTGATACTTCTCTCCTACCCACCACCACCCACCAAGGCCGGTCTGTTCTCCATGTTGTCTCTCAAACCTGCCCGTTTCGCCAGCTCTCCTGCCACCGTGCTCGTCTAAGCCATCAGGATCCACTACTTCGGCCACCATGCCAGCCTCCCGTGTGGTCTCCTGGCATGCAGTTTTGCCCCTATGAACACTAGCCAAAGTGATCTTAAAGT